GTATTGGAGTGGAATCCGAACGATGCAATATAAGCTTATGCAAAGCTAAACTATCAGGCCGCCCCGGTTCTTGTTACATTATTCATTTGGCCACTTTATGCTTGTCCTTACTCTGGAGTGTGGCATATGTACGCAACCTGTGTTACTACGCTCAAGATTGCGCGTTATGACAACGGTATTACGTTACATGTTGTCTTGTATGGGAAACAGTTGTTTAGCCACATTCACATCCTATTTACTCACCTACATGCATGTGGAGAGAGGCCCAAACAGCCAGTCAAACCATTGTATGTCTCGTAAAGACCACTAAACGTCCATCAGATTTACTTTACTCTTTGGAGAGTTTCTGCTTTCGAAGAATCCTTTAATAATTTTGTGTTCAGACTTTTTTTAGGAGGAAAAGTTTGTTGATAGGAGTTGGCAGGTTACCCGTGTCGGGAACGGAAGTAGGATTGCTGAGGTCGCAAAATGTCGAGCCTAAGGCCTGTTCGCACATTCCAACACTTAAAAACCTACTATAATAATTCTACTATTTCCGATGTGAATGCCATGGAAAGCAATCTTCCTTCGACTCGAAGAGTCCATTGGCATTAGAGAATGGTTTCATCCCCTGAAGAGGTGTGCCAATGCACGACAGACAAGAGCTCAGCTCGCATTCGTCTGCGTTAGGGGCTGAGGGCGTGGCTAATTTACGCACACCTTCCACCCGACTTGTTACGCGAATTGCTCTTTTGCCCTCGTCATCCCACGAAAAGTAGGCCCAGCTCCAGTTGTCTCTGGTGGCGACCGGCTTCTCCGATGCCCTAGTGACTCGGCGTCGACATGCCAGTCCCGATTTCGCGCCATCATGATTCTCCAATTGGCCATTATTCTCTTCCATTTCCTGACCGTTTTGTCTCGAATGTCTGGTAGTCTCCGTGCCAGCCAAGCTCCGGTACAGCCAAACACCATCACTTTTTGATGGGATTCCCCTTCAACTATCTACATCACACATTTTCACTTGAAATGCAGGTGAACCTCGAGAAACGGCTCTTGTGTCATCAACAAATTCATTCTCCATGCTGCTCTCGAGGTCCTGATTTGTCGCCCACCCGCCGAAATTGGTACGCCTCTACAGTTCTTATGACACGTCGCAGCAAACTCATAAGCTTTATTTGTCTCGCCACCAGTTCACATTTTCTTATTTCATCATTTCTGAAAAGGTTTCCTTTCCTCATTTAGTACCGCCTCTCTTCTTCACATTTCCATTCCAGAGGATGCCCTATTTGGTGGCTTTTCTGTCCACTCGCTCTTTCTCTCTCTCTCTCTCTATGTGTGTTCACACCTCTTCATCATGCTAATTCACTTTCACTTGCACACATACACATACACAGACACCACACGAGGGCCTCATCTAAACGCATCTAACGGTACTTGTTTTATCCTCGATCGGCTTATTCGTTGGTGCCTACCGGCCGGTTGGTTGCCGACTGACTCGGTCGAGCGGGCCACAACACCAACACAACGCGTCTCTCCTTCATTTTGTTTGCCCGGTGGCATGGCAACCGGATCTGCGAAAGGCCAATGCTTGACCCACCTTCCCATATGCAATAGCCCGGATGGATGCATCTTGCCACGGTCCCGAGCAGACATGGATGAACGCACATGCACAGTTGCTTGTCTCGATGACTTTTTTCTGCGTCGAAAAATTATCAAGACGGTTTTGCCATGATATAACCTTCTATCTCGGCCTGTCTGTCTCGCTCTGTTTTTTTCTCATGCATCACTTCCAAGATGATTTCCAACCCTTACGTACGCACATGCATCTTTCTTCGAAACTACTTTTTCCTCCACTCCTTCTCTTTTGCTGCACTCAGCCCGTTCTGTCTTACGGTTTCTTCGTCTCTCAGCTCCATCTTTGCCCAGAATATCTCTTTTTCACACCCATTTTCTTCTGTCTCCTCACCCCCTGCCACCCCGTTTACAGCTCCGTCCCCCCTCCCCAGCATATGCATTATTTGGTACTCTGTCCTACCAATTGCCCTACTGCTCCGCCCTAATGGGCTCGAGTAGCCTAGGTTCAGGCGTCCAACCAATGACGCTTTTCTCTGAAGGCGAGGCTGAAGATGCTACATTTGAGCTTTACTGTGACGCTTATGCTGCTGCTGATGATGATGCTGATGCCGTTGTTTATGAGAGAAGAAAGCCCCTTCTCTGCCTCTTCCTGTCTGCAATTAGTGCACATACCCTCACGGCTTAATTGTACCCATGTGAGTGCGCGATTATGTCTATGTCTATGTATATATATATGTATGTATGTATGTGTGTGT